CTTGTCTAGGATTTCATAGAAATACAATCATAAAGCATGAAGTCATTTATGTCTGGCTCCTTTTACTTAGCCTGATGTTTTCAAGATTCATTCATGCTGTTGCATATTTGAGTAGTTCTTTCACCTTGGCTGCTGAGTAGTATTCCATTGTATTACAATTTTATCTATTCACCAATTGATGGACATTTAGCTTATTTCCAATGTTGGTTTTTTTCTGATTATTATTATTATTATTATTTACAGTTTCATTCTGCTGTGTCAAGTTCTAGGGTTTTTAAAAAAATTTATCCCATTTGCAACTAATTGGAATTCTTGAATTTGTAAATTGGTTTTTACCAGTTGTAGAAAGCTGTCTTTTCAGATATTGCCTTTGCCCTATTCTCTGTTCCTTTCCCTTCTAGAACTTTATTAGATGCTTGTTAGACCTTATCCTCCTATTTTCCATGTTTCTAAATCTTTTACATATTATCTTTTTGTCTCTGTACTGCATTCTAAATAATTTCTTTAGTACTATCTTCTAATACACAAATTTTCTCTTCTTGATCTGCCCCTAATCTTGATCTTGACCCTGGGAAAGAATACAAATGGAAGGCCATATGGCATATAGATATATTTAAAAGTTAGAAATCAAGCTAACAAAGCATTAAATAAAACATATTCCATTCTCCTATCCTGATAAAGACCGTGTTTGAATTTAAAATTCTTGGATACCTAGAACATTACCCTATGATATACTGGCACAAGGACAGCTGACCTCTGTGAGGGCCCAAACCCCTCTCTTTGTATCCTCAGCTCCATACCACACTGCAAGGGGCATCAAGTGTACACATCTAGATGCCCAGCCCACAAATCCCAATTCCATCCTTAGCCCCACCAGAGCCATTTCTTAGGCACCCCCTAAAGACTCAGTCTACCCTAAGGAGGAAAGACTTGGGAAAGAGGTCTGCATAAGGAACAGAAAGCAGGCTTGGGACCATTTGAGCTAGGAATTTCAGAGTCCCTGCTAAAAGGGGTATGATTTAGAAGTGGGCATATAGACTCCATGTGACTGCTTATATCCTTAGCCATACAGATTCCTTGTGATTAGATGAAGGTCAGAACAGATTCCAAAGTACAGGGCCCAAGCCTGTGTCTGAGGGCAGTACTGTACTGCTCTCTTTAGCTATGTTAAGCCCATTTATTGAGGTTTTTTTTTTTTTCAGGAACTATGTATTAATTTCTAAAAGCTCTAGTGTTTGTTTTTTTTTACAATCTTCTGTTTTAGTTATATTTTGTGTTCCTTTTATTTTTTTCAACATGTTAACCATATTTATTTTATATTCTGTATCAGATAATTCTAATATCTGAAGTCTTTGTGGGTCTTATTCTACTGTTGTTTTGGTTGGTTGGCTCTTGCTTTTGGTGCCTTCTTTCTTTGTGTGTTTTGTGATTTTTGAGCCCATATTTCTTGAAATTTATCTATGTGGAATTTCTCAAAGCCTGGAATAAGGATAGGTTCCTAAAAAACTTCATATTTGCGCCTCCCTGGCACCTGAGTATATAACAAGTCTGGGACAACCTTAAATCAAAATTTCAGTCCATATTTTTATAAACCATTCAGGTACTGAAATTTCAGGCTGAAAAATCCATGTGAGGGCCCACTTGTGACTGAACATTCTCAGACATTTGTCTCCTCATTCCCATCCCACTCAGTGCCAAAAGTAATTTTCTGGGAGTAGAGGTGGATTTCTTACATCCAGGACTTATTGGGAGGTTACCTTTTCAAAATCCCAGTCTAGAGTAGACCTTGGGCTTTATCTCTTGTGATTTGACTCCTATAGGGCTGTAAAAATTCACCTGGTCAGGCAAATGCCCTCTAAGTTTCCACTTTCTTTTGTCTTAAGTATTCCTTACTTTCTTGTCAGTTCATTGAATCAAGAAGAAAGGTGTTTTATTCTGCATTTTTAGTTGTTTTCAGTAGGCAGATCAGTTGAGGTACCTAGTCTGCTTTATTGCTATGAAAGTTTACACAATCTTAACATTTCCCCAATCTATCTATTTTTCTTAATTCTCAGTGCTAATGTGTTGGTTCATTCACACGTAATTCCTGGCTCCATCCAAAAGCCTTTTAATGGCATTCCCTGCTTCTCATCTCTACCCTGCCTCTTCTCTCCATCTCCCATCCCTCCAACCAAGTTGTATCAGTAAGGGTCTCAACAGGAATCAGATTTCACCCAAATAGTTCAAATGAAGATACTTTAGTGAAAGGATGAGTTACAGAAGGACTAACAGAGATAAGGGAGCAAACAAGAGTTGACAATGTACTTGGAGACTAGCTACAAAGGAGATGCTAAAGAGATAAAGGGAGAAAATAAAGTTTCCAGAGCTCGGAAAAAGGTAGAGTCATGGAGGAGGGGCCCCCTGGCAGAAGCTGTAATCAATGGAGGGACTAAGCTACTGCTAAAAATGTAACATCAAAGGAAAGAAGAGTAGGGAAGAAATGCCCAATTTCTCTTTCCACCTACCTTCTGATAACCTTGCCTAGGCCTCTCTTAGGTCAAACCACCTAACCACAAGGTAGTCCTCAAAGAAGGTGAGATCAAACCCCAGAGGCATAGAACTTGAGAAAGGAGGGCAAGAAATCAGTCTAATGGCCAAAGACAAAAATACCAGCACATCAGCCCTTTTCAGACCACTTTAAAAGGTCAGTTGTCTAACACGCTAACTGTATTGTATTCTCCTCCTACTTAAAATCTCTCAATGGAATCACACCGCCTTCAGTACTAAATCCAAACTGGGATATGTGATTTTGCCCCTACTTATGGCTTCATTCCACAGTTCTTGTCTTAGCCTACAGCCGTTCCAAATGATTGACAGATTCTCCAATAGTCCATGCTCTCACACCTTCGTACTTAGGCCTCGTTCTTTCCTCTTCCTAAAGGCAACTTTCTGCATCTTCTTTGCTTGGTTAACTTCTATTCAACCTTCCAGAATCAAAGACTTAGCTCTGGATCCTGAAAATTTTTCTTTTCCAGAGTGTTTCTATAATTTCCCTACTTAATCAGGTCATAATGCTTGGTTGAACTGAGTATCCCCTCTACCCCTCTTGAGAATAGAGATATGCATTTTAGCTTGTACATACAACACCCACCACATTCCTGGTACATTGTAGGCAATCAATAACAACTTTTCAAATTAATAAATGAAAACTAAGTGTTAGGAAATAAGAAATAAAACAAAAAGGTAGTACAGGCATACTTCGTTTTATTGCACTTGGTTTTATTGTGCTTTACAGATGTTGAGTGTTTTGTTTTTTTAAAAAAAGATTTTATTGGGGAATTGAGGGAGGAGAACAGCGTTGGAGAATCGGGGAAGGGGAACAGACAAGTTGCTGTCTTTTTGTTCTTCAGTCTAGTTGTGGAGGATGTCCCTTCACTGGCCCAAGTTGGTATTATCATTGCGCTCTTCCTGGGTGAGGCAGTGCTCGCCGGCCACTGGACAACTGCTCACGGCAGCTCATGCCGGCTGTCAGCTGCTCATGATAGCTTACAGCAGCCCACTGCAGCTCCACTACAGCCTAGGCCGGCGACTCATGGCAGCCCAGCTCCAGGTCGACCTGTTGTTCACCATCTTAGCTGTAGAGGGTGCAGCGTCACTGGCCCTAATGTGGGCTCTGAACTGTGGCCCTGCTGCTCAAAGCTGGCGTTCCAAGCCAACTCTTAACCAATGCGCTACTCGGCCGGCCTGATGTTGAGTTTTTTAACAAATTGAAGGCAAGACCCTCCACCAGCAAAAAGATTATGACTCGCTTTATTGTGATACTTACTTTATTTCTGTGGTCTGGAACCAAACCTGCAATATCTTGAGATATGCCTGTGTAGTTATAAAGCTCTTTGAAATTTTAGGTTATGGGAAAAAGTCTTGAAATTTGAAGGATTTTCTTTCTCAAATTTCTTTCTGAAATATTCATCTTGTATATAGGCAGAGCAAGATAAGAAAAATACTACACACAGGTCCAAGGACTTAGAATTTGAATCCTGAAAGTTAATCCTAGACTTGGGCAATGTCCTTCTGGAATATAAGAAAAACACTGCTTTGGTGCTAGCTTTAATTCTTGCCAAATAATGCTCCAAGTTATTTAAATAAAGTTTTAGTAAATGTGTATCAACCCATAAATTTTTCGTAAATTCATATTCCAATAGCTTTTGCTTTCTTTGTATATTAAAAAATGAACTGTGGAAACCATTTTTGCTTGGTTTAGATTTTAATAGTATAAAATGCTTGCTTTTCAAAAATTCTTTGAGAGAAAATTTAAATGCTGCCTACCACACTGCAACAAAGTACTAGAGAATTATTTGCTATGCTGATTAATATAGTCTTATTTATTATTTTTTCAATGGTAATAATTTTATTTATAGGCTCAAATGAATATTCCATGTGTACATGATGAAATTTAGGAGGAAATATAGGAATCAGAAATTTTTATTATTAATTTTCAAAACTGTCCTACTGCAGCTAAGCAAGTTTACAACCACAAATACAAGTAAAAACTAAGTAAAGATTTACAAATCTTTTTCTAATGAAAACCATTTCACGTTTTTTGACAGAATGGGATTACACTACATTTTCAAAATTTAGGTTTTGCCTAAGATACCACATGAAACCTCTATAAGTAATTTTTTTTTAAAACTGGTGTGTATATATACCCTAAAAAGTATTCTCTACCAAAATGTGCAGTGCAATATATAGATTCACCACTGGAAAATAACCGTTCTTAAAACTAAGCCAATGGTGAGTCAAAGATTTTAAGATATAACGTACAACATTGTGAGCACTGATCAACAAACGAGAATACATCAAACAGAAGTGCTGGAAGCTTCTCACTGTAGGAAGAAGGAAGAAGGTCTCCAAGTCCAGAAGCACAAGACTATGAAACTACATGTCCCAGCATAGTTTGCGAGTACTAGTGACCACTACTCCCAGAATGCATTGCTCGCCCCACGTAGGTTTCCCTTGGAGCTGGGGCTTGTAGTTCTGCGGGGTAGCGTCTATCTGTGCAGTGTGAGCGGTGGTTGCTTACCATCCCGAGGGTAGTAGCAATAACCTCTCACTGTTTGGCAAAGCGGAAACACTTCGGTTCCCTAGGCCGGCTGGCTTCTTTTGTCTCATCTCTTGGATTCTGTTTTACACAGGTAGGTCTCAAAGAGGCTATAATTCCCAGCAGGAGGGCCCCACCTCTTTCTGGGAGCGACCTCGTTCTGATGAAGCCTTTTGTCCCTAAGCTCTCGCCGTAGCAGCCGCCGCCCATCCCTCTTTGTGTGCTTCGGTAAGCCGCGGAGCTAGTAGCGGCGACTTTTGGCGTTGGGGGTGAACGAAAGGGACGTTACCGGGAACTTGCAGGCGGGAGGACTCTTCCTTACCCCGCCACTGACAGGTGGGTTGACTGTTCTTTCCTCAAGGCCCTCCTGTCTGCTGTGTCTCTCGTTGAGACTCAAAAGGGCGGCTTGGGAGTTCCTGCTGACATTGCCGCCAGGCCTGGCTCCGGGAAGGAGAGCCGGGGAGAGCTAGATGCGGTGACTCAGGAAGGCCAAGGAGATGAGTCCACTTCTTTCCTTACTTGACCCTCCGGGGGTGGTTCGAAGAATCTGGAGGCTAGTCCGGCGCCCACTGGCCCCTCCCCCGGACGCACTGTCCTGGACGGCGCCCTCTTGGCTATGACTGCAGGCGAGAAGTGCCTTTTTACCGCCTTGCTCCATTTTATAAATAGGAGTCATTACTAGCGTTGACAGCGTTTTCATTCACCGTTTGTGTGTTGGAAACTACCCTAACGCGGAGATTGTAGCACAAAATTCCAGAGATAGTCTCTTCCTTGGAGTTTTAAGAAAGTGGAAGTGTCAGTCATTGAGGCTCCGCCTTCTGTAAGGATGATGCTGGCTAGTCAGTTGTATGTAGTTGAGGCCACTCAGACTTTGTTATTGGGGTTTCATTAAAAACGTATTTAAGTATATTTGATAGTAAATTATGGTAATTTTTGTGTAAAGTTTGTCCACAGTATTACTATTATATTGCACTTTTAGAATTGAAAGGAATTTTGTGTCCGACCGCATATTGTTTTTATCAGATTTCTAGGAATGAATGCAAACTTCTGATAATAGATTTGATCTGTATTGTGTAACCTAAGTTAAGGTTCTTAATGCTAACCCATGTACTTTGTTTTAAGAGCCAGAGACGTTTTGTTAAATTTGGGCATGTGAACATTAAAGAGCTATGTGCTAGCTACTGTGCTCAACCCTAAATAATATTTATTATAAATGTTTGTTTTTCAAGTCTTAGTAATTGATATGCTTCCATTATTTTAAAATTAGAGCTTATGTGTTCTCTTTAGATAGCATTGAACTTCAAAGCCTCTTGAGACGATTCTCTTCTTGAAGACAAATTTTTTAAGAGTGCTGCTTTTACCAATGTAACAATGATTGTAAATGTTTATATGCTTCTTAAGGTCACAAACATGTCAGACAAAAGTGAATTAAAGGCAGAGTTGGAACGAAAGAAGCAGCGCTTGGCCCAAATCAGAGAGGAAAAGAAGAGAAAAGAAGAAGAAAGAAAAAAAAAGGAAGTACGTTTGATTTTCAAAAATAATCTTAACATAAAATAATTGGATTTTATTTCAAATACTTATACCTGTATGTAGTACTTTCAGAATAGTTAAGATATCCCGCAGTTGTGACTGCAAATTATAGCACTATAGGTGATTGTGAAAATCACAAAACGGATAAGGTAAAATATGATTTTTTTACTGAATAAAAAGATTTCATATAGATTGATGCATTTCTAGGATTTGATTTATTAAAGATCAACTTACATATTTAGTCCTTTAGTAATATGTTTATTATATAAAGGGGCATCTATCTGCTCAGGAAGCATAGCATGTGTATATCAAAGCTTCGTTTGGATTTTGAACTTATCTGAATATTTTATTAGTCTGAACTGCTAATAATTTGTCAGAGTAGGTAGTATTAATGGCAAAGAAAAGTATATATAGTAGAGTATTTAATTGATTAGGGGATTTGTTATTTTATCGTGAGTTAGTCTTTGAAATATTTTTACCGAGTAATGGGTTTGATGGTACCATAAAGGTGGACCAGGTAACATGTCTTCTGATTTTTGGCATCACCATTTAATCATGTACAGCAAATATACATTGACTCTGAACTGGAGATATTTTACTTGCTCCTATATTGAAATGTACATTTATCCCTATGGAAACTCTAGACAGATTTGTATACTTGCATCGCAGATGTTTTGAATGGCCAGTGTAAGGTAATTTGTCCAAAGTGTGACATTAGTACCAGGTTTTTCTATGTGATAGCCTAAACAATAGCCAAGACTTCTAGAAATCTCTTAGGGGAAAAAAAAATCAGTAGCAGAAAAATCAAAGATACGATTTATGTGCAGAATTGCTATGATGCTGTAAAGGCCGGTAATTGAAGACTTTTCTAGTTTATCTGAACCTTTCTGTGATATATTATTGTAAGAGGGTTGTAGCTTTAAGTTAGTTACTTCATTAAAAGCTAACTGGTAGAAGCATAAGTCAGACTGGGACAACTATTACAAAGTAATATTTATATCCTTAAACCCTTCAGTGTTGAGAGTAAATTTAATTTTTGTTTAATAAGGATGGCCATAAGTGACCTCTAAGGATTTTCTAATGCATGATTTATATCTAATTTAAAGGTTATAAAACATTACAAGAGATAATAGTATTAAACAATGGAGCTACAAATATATTGTTATGTATAGGTAAATTGTCAACTTGATAATATAGTCTGGCTATTTTGATGAAATTTTCTAATAAGTTTTTTAAGTTAAAATGGTATACGTGTAGAATATCATGACTAACAATTCACTGCAGACAGTTGTATGAGTAATAATTGTTTAGTCAAAATAGGCATTTAAGATGTACAGTAGTTCCTCCTTATCTGCAAGGGATACGTTCCAAGACCCCCAGTAGATGCCTGAAACTGCGGATCGTACCAAACCCTATGTATATCCTGTTTTTCACGACACATGCATACCCGTGATAAAGGTTAATTTATAAGTTTGGCACAGTAAGAGATTAATAACAATAATACCATCATGTACCACTTAATGACATGAATATGTTCTGAGAAATGTGTCATTAGGTGATTTCATTCACAGAATGTACTTACACAAACTTAGATGGTATAGCCTACTACCCACATAGGCTACAAAAGCTATTGGGTTGTCAGAAAAGTCATGACACATTTTTGCAACGAAAAACATAGAAAAAAATACGTCATGGCTTTTCCGACAACCCAATATATGGGATAGCCTATTGCTCCTAGGCTACAAACCTATACAACATGTTACTGTACAAAATAACATGATATTAAATCAGCACGGTACATGCGTGTAAACACATGTTAAACAAGAGATGTACGTGTATGAGGCTGCTGCTGGCATAACAGTGTTATGTGTGCTGTTTTACAGCAAACTTGTTTATTATAAGTAGAAAGAGTACACTCGAAATAATGTTAAAAATGTAGTGTGGTAAATACATAAACCAGTAATAGTTGTTTATTATTATTATCAAGTATTAAGTACTGTCCATAGTTGTACATGCTCTCCATTTATACGACTGACAGTGCAGTAGGTTTGTTTACACCAGCATTGCACAAACGTTTACATGAGTATTGTGTTGTGCTACAACATCACTAGGTGATAGGAATTTTTCAGCTCCATTATAATCTTTTGGGGCAACTGTCCTTTTCTAGTCCATCGTTGACCAAACTGTTATGCAGCACATGACTGTAATAAAATAGAAAAATTATAATAGTATACTGTAATAAAAGTTACGTGAATGTGGTCTCTCAACAAGCTAGCATAAATTTCTTTTCCTTTACAATTTCACTAATAGAATATTCATTCTTACCATAGATCTTAGCAACCTCAGCATACAACTTTTTTTCCTTATTAAGTAGAGAGCTTTTACCTTTTCACTTAAAGGATGCACTTCATGGCTTCTCTTTGGCATATCCTATATCTTGGACTTTAGGCCATTATTAAGTAAAATAAAGGTTCCTTGAACACAAGCACTGCAATACCATGATAATCGATCTGATAACCGAGATGGCTACTAAGTGACTTATGGACGATTGTATGCAGCATTAATATGATGGACAAAGACGTGAGTCACATAGTGGGACAGAGATTTCATCACGATACTCAGAACAGCATGCAATTTATACTTAACGAATTATTTATTTCTGAAATTTTCCATTGAATAGTTTCTGACTGAGGTTGACCACAGGTAACTGAAATCACGGACAGCAAATCTGCAGATAAGGGAGGACTACTGTATATAAGAAACTTTCCTTGAAGGCTTAAATTTCACTTGTGATGTTTTGGATGATCTGAGAGTATTGAGGCTCATCTTGTTGAACTGGAAGATTTTGCTAAAACTAAATGGTTAAAATAAAAGCTGGTAAGATTCAATTTTAAAATGTTTTGTGCTATGCAAAAGTGAATTTTACCAAACCTAACCACATTTTTATCATAAAAATGAGACCTATAATTTAAAAAAATGAAAAATTTTGCCTAGATGCATTTTTGACAAACATCCTTACATAAAGTTGCATAAATACAATGAAAACTGCATATAGAATTTTTTCATACTTTTTCAGCAAATTGGATTGTCCATTTACATAAAATTTGTTACCTTTTAAATAATTCCATCTTATTTTTTTTCATAGCATTGTAATATTTATATCTAAGCTTTTGTGCCATTGGGGCAGAGTTCCACAGTTCTTGACTGTGGATAGCAATTTAATACTGTAGAAGTTGACTGTACTTTTAGAATTTATCTGTTAGGAAAATTTTTGTGGGAACCCTTTGATTACATATAAAAATGGATCAATTTAGTACATATCATTTGGAGATTACTTACTAGAACTCTGTTGTAAATGATTTTCATTTAATAACTATAATGTGTATTCAAAGCTAAGTCTACCCCTAAAAGTATACAATGTTAGCACATTTTTTAAATATATTTTTTTGCAAACAGAAATATTGCATTATGTAAACTTAAGTGTTTTATTTAGACGGACCAGAAGAAGGAAGCAGTTGCTCCTGTGCAAGAAGAATCAGATCTTGAAAAAAAAAGAAGAGAAGCTGAAGCATTGCTTCAAAGCATGGGGCTGACTCCGGAATCCCCCATTGGTAAGGATAAGAATATATCCATTTATAAGAGATAGACATATAATCTGTTCAGCTCAGATGTACCTGAGATGAATGAGTTCACTTAATAAATTACATATTTTTCTTATTTGTGTCGCTTAAACATTACTAATCTTATAATTTATTTGGAATTATCTGTTTTCAGATTTGCTAATACATGGTTATTTTGTTTGTTCAAAAGAGCTGCAAGGTTAATTATTATTAACATGCTGAACCACCAGTTTACTTGTTAAATCAGTAATTTATTGCAACAAACACTTGTTGAACAAGTTTTCTCTGCATATTGTATTAAGCTCAAAGATGACTGTGTTTCCTGATCTTAACTCTATTTTCCTTTCTGTAGGTTAGAGGTATAACCAACCAAAGTTCTAAAAATATATTAGTGTTCAAAGGTGTAGGAGGGGAAGGAGAAGCTTATAGCCTTCCGCTTTCAGTACTAATAAGGAAAATAATATTGGTAGCTTATTTTGGCAGTGATTTGACTTAGTGTTATTCTTTTTTTTGTGTTAACTCATTTTGATAGCAGTGCTAGACCAAAAAGCTGAAATAGTAGAGATATTGAGGACAGTCTAGTTACATATCATTAAATGTGCTTACTTAAAGCAATTTTGAGCTGGGTGTTGTTACATTGTATTTTAGTTTGACATGGCTGTTGTCCTGTAGGGACCTAAAATTTCAGGGTTAGCTTGTGGGCTAATTCTGTTTAGTCCAGGGAACATATACCAGAGATGGTAACTACTATATCCCTGTTGTGAAACTGCAACATAACTGTCTTTAGAACTGGTATTTCGATTTCGAAAAGGTTTCAAAATGAAAAATCAGGTTATTCTCATGGTCCTCTTTACTGTTATTTCTTTCAGCTCATTTGTCTTTTCCTTACTGTAGAGTTTGAAAAATTAATGTAGAAATACATTAATTTTTATATTTTTATTTAATAAGCTTATGTTAGATATTGCATTTTTAAAACCAAAAGAATCAGAACACTATTATCTTGTTTTAAAAAAATACCAAGTTGCTTGTTGTATAGTCTTTGAGTGATTATTTTTTCTGAGCCTTTGTCTTTTGTTTTCCTCCTGTAGGATTTTTTTTCCTTTTTTGTTTTTTGTAGGACATTAGTTTCACTGAATTTAGTTGCTCCTATTTCTTAATTCGTAGCCTACCTCCATCATCAATTCTTGAAAGATCATTCTTTAGTTGTGTATGTGTGTTTGTGTGTGTTTCTCCCTTGTTCCCCATCTCCAATTTCGTTCTTCCCAGTCTTACATTAAATACTCTTGCGTTTTTAACATGTCCTTTTGATCTGTCCTACATGTTTAGATTTTTCAAGATTTTTATATATGTGTGTATATTTTATATACATAAATGACATTGTGCTGTATGTCTCATTCTATTTATTCTTTTTTTTTCCCTGTCAGGCAGTATTGTATTTGAGATCTCTCCATGTTGCTATATGCAGATCTAGTTATTGATTTCTGACTTATGGGCAATATTCTATCATATATTGTACTATATTTTACTTACCTGTTTCCAAGTGATAGGCACATAGATTGCTTCTATCTCTTTGCTTTGCTTTCACAAACAACTCTGCAAAGAATATATTCTTTAAGGGCTGTGCAAGAGTTTCTGTGTGGTGAATGCCCAAGAATTGACTTGCTGTGTTATTGTGTATAGGATTACTTAAAAAGATTAAGTTCTACATACTGCTTTCAAGAATGGCTCCAGAAGTTTACCCTCCCACTACCAGTGCAGGAGAAAGGAACTATTTCACCATATTCACATTATCACTTGATCCATTTTATCCAACTTTCTAATTTTTGTCAATTTGATTGTGTATAATGACAAAATGCTTTAATATTCATTTATCTGATTACAGCAAGTTTGAACATTTCTTCATATATCTATTAACTATTTTTCTCGTCAATGAATTGCATATTCATATTCTTTGCCCACTTATCATTGGGGTTCTTGCTGACTTATAGCAGTTGTGTATATTTTCGAGAGGACTTCTTTGTTTTTAGTCTTTTCAAAAATACCTCCTCGCAGCCTATTACCTGTTAACTCTGTTTATAGTATCCTCATTTGACAGAATCCTTCATTTTGATTTGTTCAGATCCTTTACTTTGACATAGTCAAATCTACCAATTGTAACTTTTCTGTGCGTTTTGGTTTTCTTAAAAAAAATCCTGTCCTACTTTGAAAACACAAATATATTCTTTCACATTTTTCTGTTAGGTTTTATAGTTTCAGCCTTCACCTTTAGATATTGGGGTTACATTTTAAAATACAATATGAGACAGGGATCCAAGCTAGTGTTTCTCTATGTAGTTAGCTAATGTTCTCAAAACCATGTAAATAGTCCATCTTTTCCTCCACTGATACCTGATGCCAACTTTGTCATATAATCATGACCCAGGATGGATACTTGTTTTTCTGTTTAATACAGAATATATTTATTAAATATTTTTACTTGTAAAATATAAGAACACTGCTAGAATACTCAAGATTTATTCAAAACATCAATCTATTATTTTCTTAAAATGGACTTTCTTTTTTTTTATTCTAAAAAGAATTTGTTTTTTAAAAAAGATGTAGCAATAGCTAATAACACCTTTCTTAGCTGCTCTTTGCTAGTAGATCGTTATGTATTTGGTCATTTGACTACTTTTTGTCAGAGATCCTTGAGAGCAGGAATGAAACATTACATTTTTATCCCTGGTGCCCAGCCCAAGCCAGACACTTAAATGTTTGTTTAATTATTATTATTAAGTCATATATCTTTCTAACTGATAAGGCCGATAAAAGCCATTCTACTTTAAAAGCAACAACAAAATCTTACTGTTTAAATTTTAGGAAAATGCATAGTGGAAACTGAAATTTGAGTATTTCATAAAAGAGGTATGACTTGATTTTTTTTTAAACAATTTAAGAGGCCAGTCTTAGGAAAGTTAATTTTAGACACTGTTCAAGACATGTTGTATCAAATGTGGAGTTCTAAACATTGACGATTGAAAAAAAATAAAGTGAGTCTCTTTTTATATGTATAACTGCTGTTTTCACTATCTTGAAAAGAGAGAAAACAGATATTGTCAATTACTCTGTAGCCTGAGTCTGTATCAATTTGGTAGAGTACTTTGATTAATGTGATAGTTTATTATCTAGAATTTTCTTTTAGTAGGAAGAAACAAATTTACTAGTCAAAATATGTATTGCTTCCTTTTTTCTCTCCCTCTCTCCTTGTAAATTTTGGATATTTTGAATTTGATTGTTAGATAGAATGCTTTCCATGTACCAAGTCCTTTTTTCAAGTCATTTTTAGTCTAATTTTAACAAATAGTTCTTAAGGTGCTTTAATACTATAAAATTTTATTTTTATTAATTACTTTAAAAGAATTATCTGATGCTCTGGAGATAAGTGGAGGATAAACTTCATTATCAGGAGGAGAGGCCATAGAAAAGGGAGAAATTAATAGTATTTCAGAGTTAAGGTTTAAAGCAACATCTTTCAGGACAAAAAGAGTAAGGTATAAAAAAGTTACTTAAATATTGATATTCCAGGCTAGGAGCACTTGTATCCACAAGGGGGCATTATAGTAACGCAGGCAGTGTTTGAATAGTAAGTATCATAGAAATGACCTCACAACTTTGCTGTTACCTCAGGAGCTCACTCCTTCCATTTCACTGTCTTCCACCAACACTTCTATTCCCTACATTCTTGACTGTCCACCTTTTCTAGGTCCTTCTTTCTGGCAAAGTCCCTTCTTGACAGAGGCTTTCTTCTACTTGAAAAATAATTGGGCTGTGTGCCATCCCTCATCTCTGAGACTTCTGTGTAGTTCTGAATGGTTGACTCAAATTTAACTCTAATTCTAAATCTAGGTGCATTCCCAGGTCCTTTGTGCTGTAAGAGTATTCTAGTTGTTTCTTCACAGACCAAAAAAAAAAGGCAGCAATGTTAGTTTTATGTCTTTCAAAGGCCAAGATCTAAGGTGGCAGGAAAGGCCTTCTCAATTGGCTTTTTGTCCTAGAGAATTAGAGTCACAGCCTTTGAGTATTACTTACTTGATCAATCAGTGAATGACGTGGTATAGATTAGTTTTTCAGTTTATATTTCTCCTTTGGTTCTCAAAGAAGGAAATAGGTATCTTTCCTCTAAACTTCTAAGAAACTTAAATTTATTTACTCGCATATGTTAGTATTAAATCTTTCATTTTGGCCAGTTTTAGGCTATTTTATTTACAGAAGTGTGGAGTAAAGTCATTTGATTGAATCGCTGTTCTTACTAAGCAAATTGTATTTCACATATTTGGCAAAAGCTAATTATTAGTAGCTTATATTATTTTCAAAGCTGTTTGGACTCTTAAACCATCTTTAAAAATAGATTCTAGAATTGAGTCTTTTCTGAGATTTGGGAGGCAGTGAGTTATTTAGTTTTTTAAATCTCCCTGAATGCATGCTTTTATTTGTTCTTAGGGGTCATATGTTGGAGTCCAGGAGTATATTGGCATTGCCTTGTAGTGCAATTACTGTATTCTTTGATTTTTCTAGATTAATTGAGTTAAAATATGATAGTCACCAAATGACGCCACCATTCCTTTTTTTTCCTACTAATATTCCTCATTTTTCAATAATAGTAATTTTCTTTTATTTAGGTTTGTCCCTTCTGTGGTGTACATTATTATTACAAGATAAAGTTGGTGGGCCTGATAATAATGTAAGATCTTAATAAGTCCTCTTCATCAGTTGGCTTGAAAACTATTTTCTGACAGAAAGAATATAGTTCTGGGATAGAGATTTTTTATCTAATTACAAATTTAAAGCTATGGTGATTTACTTTGCTTCTGGCTGAGAAATTGTGATAATTTGGTAGAATCACTCCTGTGATTCAGTTTTTATTTCTGAAACTTTTTTTCAGAATTGGCTAGAGTATTTGTTTATGTGTGTATAATTACTATTTAACATGTTTCCATAAAGAATTTGGGGTA